GTGAGAAATCGACATTTTAGGATGCATATGATATTCAACAATAGTGTGGCGATAAAATCTCAATATAGGAATATGAGTTTTACTATATTTGACTGTAGACAAGGATATTCCCTCATAAAATTTGGTAATAAAAAACTATATCATAAAGATGAATTCAGTCAAGGTAAAGCCTACACTGTTTTCAATCGGCCTAAAGAAATGGTGTACTATTGTAAACTATTTAATTAATCAGCAAAGCTGAGTGGGAAAATTCACCTATCGGCCCCTCATCAACTTATGGACATAGGTTGAGCAATACGTATAAAGTTTTAAAGAAGCCTTGATTGCCCCATTCTGGCCCATCAATCGTGACTTCAAGGGGTTTCACACAATCGTATTTAGGTTACCAAATAAAACACTTACATTGCAAATGTAGACGGGAATACCTCGTCCTACACAACTTAATCGTATTGTCAGGGCGAAGTGGCAGAATATGCGCCGCGGTGTTGTCACGTCTGCAGTTCGGCACTGTGAAGTTATAGAGATCAGAATGAAGTTGATCAGATTCGGCCCTTCTTTATTCCTACTTGGTCCTGCATATTTCTCATCGTAACGCATTATCCTACTCACTAACTCACAACTCAGTACGCTGAGTCTTCTCTCTACCCCAATTTGTAACTTCACCTTGTGCAACATGTGGTGGATTGTCCACCTAAATTCCGCTCTACCTTTTCAATATCGCATCCCTCAAAAGTTATGTTACCTGTTTCTTGGTGCGAAGTTCGAAATGTGGCTTAATTACTTGCGATCGAGGCTTTGAGTCCTTTTTATGATATTACAAAATTGTGGCGTGATCTATTTTGCATATAAATTAAATATTAATTTATATATTAATTTTTTTGGTATATATTGATTACAATTTAATATCGACATATAGCGTATAAAATCTTATGTATTAACTGACATTAGAATAGGATTAGCAAATTAAATGAAAATATAAATTCCATTCTGTAGCTGAAATTTATAAAGAGCATGCTACTTCATTTTACTTAATGTCACCTTTTAAAAGGCTTTTTCATCTTACTTGCCTTCATTTTCGACCTCGGTTAAGTCCTTCAGCACCCCCAGCAAGATTCTTTTCTCGAATCGTATTTTTAGAGTGTTTGTAGATGAGACACATATATATACCCTATTTGTCATGTGAATATTTTTATAAATTATCACCTTAAGCAAACTAAAATGATTATATTCTTATTCAATAAGTACTGATAATCTTGAAATACAGTGACATAGAAAGAAAGCATTATCGAAGATGTTAAATCCGAATGACTATGTACCTCATCAAGGATACCACTTTAAATATAGTTTTTGAGAGGCATGTTTTAATTTAGAATTTCCATCTGCCCTGTGATCTACTAAAACCTGTAGATGTTTAGCGGGATAATGACGTGTCACCATGATGCTCACCACCGGTATTCAAGTCCCGTCAGGGTC